TCTGGGAGTATGTTTTCAGGGTTTGCGTTATTTGTTCCCTTTGTGAATGCGGGGGCATCAAGTTTGAAACTGTGTTCGTGCCTCCAACTCACAAGCTAGTGGAACTAAACACACGTGCTCAGATACCGCGGGCAGGTGTTCTAACGGGATTTTTTTTTTCGGGTACGGATCCCGCCCTTAAGGTGACTATAGAAGTAAGTGGGAATAATGAAGTCGCTTAAATTGTACATTAGGAATCTGTGAATCATAAGTGGACCTCTGAACTCCGCAGCTGAGCACGGGTATTTCATGTCTGCATATTCTAAACGTGGACGTTTCTTAAGCTACGTGTGTGTGCTTTTCAACTGTTCTATTAACATAATTCTGCTGATCGTTCCCTGAGATTGGATGACAACTTATTACTTTGTTATTAATATTTTCACGAGCATGTATTGAAGTAAATACGGTGACCTTCGGTGCAGACAGAACAAATATTTTCAATTAGTGATTCATTACCTAATCGAAAACTATCAAATGTTATCGATCACCAAGGAAACCACATATAACATCACTTATACACTTCGTAATTTAATCATTTGCTTTTTGTGTATCAATGTTGCAACGACGGGTTTAACTTTAATCGATGCCAAGAGATAAAACATTGGAGGAAGCTATTGGTTCGATATTTATACGAGGAAGCGATATCATTGTAAAACTATTAATATAGCTTTATGCTCAAACATGTTGGTATAATAAACCTATCAAAATAAACTAGAATAACGAGTCCACGCAACCATATTTATGTCATTATGTCTGGCCGTCGTCAAGATATTGATAAAAAATATATGCAAGTAGCCACCGGCAAGGGCTTTTGTACAAAGGGAAGGTACCCCATGATGATGATGTTTAACAGACACCATACATGCGCAGTTCGAGACCTAGGTCACCTATTTACAGGAGGAATTTAGTCTCCAACAAAAAACATGGTGGTCCACTGGGTGAGAATCTGTTTGCTGCAAATGTAATTTTATTGTTATGTGTATGATGTATAACGACGCTTTCATCGGCAAACTGAACGTTAAATACTTACTACCCAGTAATATAGTATGTTAGGCCTTCCAGTAACTGGTCACGAAATCTTCCACTTGTAACACCCCTAGTTTTCCCTCTTCCACAGATAATGCTAAATATTCTATTCCTCAAAATCTGTGATCTTTGGCTTTACACTGTTTAACAATATCATTATATAATTATTTATCTTTGGAGAGTCGTCATGCCTGATCTCCTGATCGGAATTTAGGTCTTATGTGACC